CCCCCCATCCCGGCGGGCAGCCCCCCGCCAAGGCCCCCGGCAGCTCGGGGAGGCTGTGCTGCCCCTGGTCTCGCCCACCAAGGCCACGTCCTCTCCGCCATGACATGGCCAGGGACAGCCTGTCCACGGCTCTGCCGACAGGATGAGGCCTCCTCCTCCTCCTCCTCCCGGGCATCAGCTCAAACCCAGCCCCGGCCGGGACTCGGTGGCCGTTCTCGTCCCCCCGGGGATGACCCCCTGCTCGAGGGGACCGGCGGTGGTGGGGGCGTGCCGGAGGCCCGGAGCTGCCACCCCCTGTCGCGGCCACTCAACCCGCCGAGGTGGGGAGCGGGAGACGTGGCTCATCCAGCGCCCGCTTGGCCGGCACCTGCCCCGTGGGGCTGCGAAAACGGCGTGGGAGCGGGTGCGAACCCTCCGCGGAGAGAGGGCTGCTGCCCTCTGGTGACAGCCGCCACGGGTGGAAGGACCCGTCACGGGGTGGGGGGTGGGGGGGACACGTTTACCGGCCCCAAATCAGCAGCTACAGACCCGGTGGGGTTTTCAAGCGTTTTGCTGCGGCCGAGGCACCCCACTTCTACAGAAATCACGCAGGCGGTGCGCGGCGTACTCTTGGCAGTCCGGAGAAAGCTGCTGTGCGTCAGGGAAGGCGGAGGGGATGGCTGCGCCGTGGGAGCTGGGGCGGTGGGCTTGCTCGCAACCCGCCTGTGAACGCGATCCATCGGGTGACATGTAGCAGGGGCATAGACTTATCTCTGGGGTTTCCAGGCTCCTTTTATTTTTTAAGGAAGGAGTGTGGAGTTTGCAGCTGGTACGGTAGGGGAATGCTGTGCTGTGTCTTAGGGCATTTTAAAAGTCACTTCTACTCAGTGCCTTTTTAAAAAGCGTCGTGCAAGCAGAGATCTGCTTACGGACCTGAATTGTGTCTGTTAGCCTTGAGCAAAGAGGGGCAGCTGGGACCTTGTGGAGAGTGGAGCAGGACTGAACCCTGCCACAAATGAAAGTCTTGGCAAACTTGCTAACACATGCAGAAGGTGAACAAGGTCTGACAGGTGAAATGGGAGAAAACTCCCAGTGTGATAGTACTAGGGTTACTTTTGGCTGGTCTCTGCTTTAGAAGGGGGTTGAGGACTGGGAGAATTAAGTCATCCTGTAAAGCATCATCACCGCCTTATTTCGCAGCAGCAATTTGTATCATGTGGGTCTTGGCGTGAGTAAGTGGCAGGGCCCTGGTAGGGACTACATGTCCCAGCATGCAGCTCCCTCCACGCAGCCCAGCCGCCCGTTTGGGCATCGCGGCAGGCTGGCATCTGCAGCCTCCTGACAGCCCTGCCTGTGCTGAGAGCAGGGCAGCGGTGGGAGCTGGGTGGGCAGGGAGGTTTGTACAGGGTTTAGGTCAGAGTGGGACTCTGCTGCCACGGTGTCTCTCACAGATGAGACAGCACCTACCTTTGTCTCATCCGCAGCAGCTGCTCCCACAACATTTTGCCGGGTTCCTGCTAACTCTCGCGGGGCCCGAACGTGTCCCTTCCTATGGACCCTGGGGTGGGCAGGGTGTGTGGGGACAGCAGAGCCCTCCTGTCACCCCAGCTGTAGAGCTGCAGTCCTTGGGGAGCTGGGCTTGTGGACCGAGGTCCGGCCCGCAGGTGGGGCAGGGCTGGGGCCGTTTCAGCTCTGCCACTCGCCTGCCGTGTTTCTGCTCCCTGTGTGAGAGTTTCTTACCCACCGCCAGAAGGAAAGCTGGCGGGGCCACCCTGCCCTTTGGGAACCCTGCTATTGGAGGCACAGCTCGCTGAGGGGCTCCCCTGCTCCCTTGCCTTTGCAGCAAGCTGGGTAGAGCAGCTCTTGATGCTCTGTTCTTCACGTCTGCCCTCTCCAGAAATGGACTTTAGGGAATAACAGATCATTTTATTTTTACTGATAGGGTTGCTGTTTCACTCCTGGTGGCTTCCTCCAAGGCAGATGAAGCCCCCCCCAGCCAAACACCCTCCCTCTGCTGTCGTGCTGAGCTTTCCCAGCCTGTTCCCTCGGCAGTTTCAGGTCTTCTGAGCTTGCGGAGCTGGAGGAGGAAAGGAAGTTCCCTCCCTGTGTTTGAGGGACCTCTGAGGGCGGGGAGGCACATCTGTATCCCTGGTCTTCCTCCTTGCTGTCTGCTGCCAGCTGCTTGCCCTGGCCTGTTTCTGCACGGCCGCCCTGAGTAGCAGAGGGCAGAGACGCCCCAACCTTCCCCGCTGCTTCTGGGTCTGAGGGTGCTTTGAGGGGATACTTACTGATCTGACTCTTGACAGTCAATGACTCTTGAATCTTCCTGAGGCCTTTACCTGCCCTTACTGCTCTGGGCCTGCCCACGCTTGTCCCCTTCTACATTTTGTAGGCAGCATCGTGTGGTGTGTGGAAAGGCACAATGCCTGGGGGACAGGACGCTTCCTGGATACAGAATAAGAAAACGTGTCGTTTGTAGGTATGCAACCACAGATGTGAAAGAAAAAGTGAGGCCATAGTGGTTAGAAAAGTGATGTCCTCAGCACACTGTCAATGGAGCTGTAATCAAATTATTGGAGGCTTCCATGGCTGGAGGAATTAATGAGTCAGGTTTGAAGCAGGACAGGTGTGAAGGGCAATATGGGAGAGAAATCCCGAAGGGAGACATTTGTAAGTGAACAGATGGCTTCTGCAGGGTGTTGTTGCAGGTTATTTGGCAGTGAGAGTCTTCTGTGGGAGGGTTTTGCCTGATACTTCTCCACCTCTCATCAGTCCCAGGGACCCCCTTCCTCCAGCAGGTTGTGTGGGCCCCTGTGTCCTGGTAACCCCACTGAGTGTTTCTGATCCTTCCTTCTGTCTGCAGCGCCTGGCAGCTCCGCTCCCTGGAGCCTGTTTTCTGACCAGCTCTCTTCCTTTGTTTTTCCATTTTGCTTTTTGCTCATGAGCAAGTGAGCCAGGTGAATGTAAGGTCTAGAGAACTTGATCCCACAAAGTTTGAGGTTTGCTTTAAAATTTATATTCTTTGACTGGGAGGTGTCTTTGCAAATCTTCATCCTCCCTTTGCCTTTGCTAGTCTCTATCACAGTCTCCCTTGCTTGGCCTCGTGAACACACAGCTGCCAATTAACATGTTTTTCCCCTGTTTCTGTCAGTGTCTTCAGCTGGTTGTGAATCTTGAATGAAGAGCAGCTGAGCTCACATGCTCTGCATTTCAGAGAGCTTTTTCAGGACTGGCTGGTGGTTTGCAGTCATACTCGCCTGTGTTGTGGCCTGACAACCCCCCAGCTAAGCAGCGTGAGGGTAGAACAATACTTGGATGCGAAGCCTCCAAAGGAGTCCTGTGTGCTGCAAAAAGTGCAGTTAGTGATTCAGCTGGAAGTGCTTTTTAGTAACAAATCCATGTCCTGGGCCAGGGCCGATGTCAACCCTGTGATTCTTGCTGGAAGTGAACAAAGATGCAAAGTCCTTTATGCAAGAGGTGAGGTGATAATCCAGATCTCCTGGCCTCAGTCCATTTGGGGTAATTGCATTCTTCCTGGGGAGAGTTTTCAACCCATCCCTGTCAGATACACTGCCATCGCTTCCTGTGCTGCAGCAGTATGTGGGTGGCAGTACTTCAGCCATGTCCAAAGCAATTCTTGTCACTGCTCAGGCTTAGAGCCTTTCAAGCTTTCTCTGAAAGGTAGTGTGGTGGAGCAGGGAATTGGTGGAGGGTTTTAAGTATGTGTGTATTTACATATACACATGCTACACTTACTGGGGCTTGTTCTGCTTGTACCAAAAATATACCAAAACCATAGCCCTGGTGACTAGCTGGTACAGCTTCCAGGTGGGACCTCTCCTGGGATGCTGGTGCAGGTTGAACTGCTAGCTCTGTAGGTGCAGGTGACATTAAGCACAAACTTTCTGGGTGCCTTCCTGACTGTTTCAAGGGCTGGTGCACCAGTGAGCTAACATGGGGGTGCCTTCCCACATCACTATGTAAAGGCTATGCTTCTGGGGGACTGGCAGTGTGGCTGCCTGCAGTGCTCGCTGGTGCTGCGGCTCTGGTGGGAGCTGGGTTGTGCTGCGGGTTGGTACTGTAGGGTGATTACCCCTGTGGGAGGGCGGGCTGGGAAGTGGGGACTGCCCCTAAGCAGCTTTTGCTCATTGTGCCTGTGGCCAGGGGAGTGTCAGACCTGGTTTTGGGGAGCCTGATGTTGTCCTGGTTTTCAGGACCTGCTGGGCACAAGCACCTAGTCCCCACACAGTGTGATCCCCAGTAGTCTGTGATTACAGCAGTGGGAGCCTGGGGAGGAGTCTTAAACAACGTCTTTGTGACGGTGTTGGCAGGCCTCTCGGAGATTTCTATTAAGTTGTCGTTTTCCCCCTTCACTGTAGCCTGGGAAACGCTGCGGCTGTGGATTTGGCTTGGTCTCTTTGGGTTGTTGGGAGCAGTGTCTCTCCAGCAGTGGAGTTTCACCCTCCCTGCCCTGGCTCTGTGTCCCCAGGGGGTGGTTTAGCGGGTGGCCTGTGGGGACCACAGCCAGAGTCTGTTCTTGCAGATAAACCATATGCCAGCGCACCCACTTGAGTACTGGCAAAGCCTGTGTGGTGGAGCAATGTACAGCTGCCCAGGTGGAGAAGAACAAAGCCAAGGGCACAGAAAGGACTTTACTTCCCACTGATAATATGGGGAAGGGGGACAGTGGCAGTGACCTTAGCAGCCCTCTCTGGGGAACCAACAAAACACCCACCCAGAGTGATGCAGGGAACTGGGGTGACAACTGGAACCCTGGGAGTGAGTCAGGGCGGCAGCTGGAGGGGCGGCCTCAGCACTAGTAAAAGATACAGTGAGATCTTCAAGGTGCTGGGGTGCTCGGGGTCTCTCGCTTCTGTGCATAGGCCACTAACTTGTTTGGCTTTGATGAGCAATTACTGCCTGCCCAGTGTTGGGAAGGTCTTCTTGCATGGGTAGGGTATTTCCCAGCTGGCCTGAACGTGTGTCTGTGTGCTTGTCTTTCCAGGTGACACAAGACAGCTGGACCAAGAAACCCCAAGACCACACCACAAGTCCTGACTGCTAAGAACTCCCTTTCCTGTCTGCTTCAGCCCTACACCAAGGTTAGCACCTGTTCAATCATCACCAGTTTCTCTTCCTTCACCAGGGCTGTGTGAAGAAGCAGGGGAACCCCATGCTCTCCTCCCCTTGGCCTGTAGGGACAGCTCTGTAGAGTAGGTGTCACCCAGGTGAGGTGCTCCCATCACCCAGGCTTGCTGGGTGCTCCTGCCTCCCACCTGGCTGACAGTGTGGCGAAGGGAGCCTGGATGTGTGTGACTGGTGCTGTTAAGATGGTTGAACCCTGCACACAGTTGTCAGGAGCTCAAGGGCACTGTGTTTTAAACCCTTGGGAACTTGCAGTCTGTGCTGCTTTCTGCACTCGTCCTTCTATGTAGCAGCAATATTGAACGGGAGCGTTTCCCAGCTGCTGGTCTCCACTGCTTGCTGTCCTTCACCTCGACAAACAGAGCTGAGACTTCACCCAGAGCTCGTGGCAGATGTGATCGTGCTTTCTGTCAAAACCAGTAGAGCTCTGCCTGCATTTTCCCAGGATTCTGTATCTAGAAGAGTCCCTTGGCCATGGTGTATGAGGCTTAGAGTGACAGTGAAGTGTTTCAGGAGGACTGCTAGTCTTTGTATTGCCACTGTCAAGAAATGTGAAGGTCAGGCCTTTGCTGCTCAGAGGTAACCAGCCCGGAGCAGGCTGAGACTGCTGCGGGCTTCCCGCCCTGTCCCTGTGCCTGGATGCTTGTGTGCCTGCCTGCGATCCAGCAGTGCCTGCCCCACCTGCACGGTGTGGTCTCACCGGGAAAGGAGCCCTCATCGGCACTGTGCCTCCAGGGGGTTAGGCTGAGCACTTCTCTCACCCCAGAGCTCAGGTACGATTTGACCAGGAGACATTATGTGGGGAAGCTGCTGTTTAGGACACATGGCTGCCCAGGCTGTGTGGCTCTTCTCTGAAGTGTCTGTGTGCTGGTTTTGGCTGGGATAGAGTTAATTTTCTTCACAGTAGCTAGTACAGGGCTATGTTTTGGATTTGTGCTGAGAACAGTGTTGATAATGATGAGATGTTTTCATTACTGCTTAGCAGTGCTTATCTAGCATCAAGTCCTTCTCTGCTTCTCACACCACCCCACCAGCAAGTAGGCTTTCCTTCCCCCTTGCATGCTGCCAAATAGCTTGATACCTCCAGGGACAGCAAATCTCCTGTATATGTGTAATGCAGCACCTTCTCCCATTATTTGGTCACAGCATGAACCTCTTCTCTCTGGTTTGGACATTGCCTAACCCAGGTGATATCAGTGAACTTATATTCGGGCTGAATTAACCACATTAGTTCAGTTTAGTGCAGCTGGCAGTAACCTGGAAGCTGGTATAGCTTGCAGACCCTTGGACAGACTTGCAGTGCCTCTGTTGGGAATGGGAAGGAATGCTTTGCTGGCAAACTCAAAGACTGGGAAAAGTGGAGGTTATATCGTCAACAGACAGTGGTTAGCCTAACATCCTTCAGCCCACTCTTAGCATGTGTGGGCTGCCGTTGCCCCTTGGTCTGACCAGCTGATCTAGGAGTAGGTCTTCTTTCCACTGGAAACCCCAAGAAAATGCTGCCCCTTCTTCAGAGATGGGGCCCTGGGTTTCTCGTCAGTATTGGCACTGGAGTTATGCAAGGAATCCCCTTTTTGCCCTACCATCTCTGTTGCAAGTAGGTCGAGCATTCAAAGATCCTGTTCATGGGAGTGTTGGGACAGCTGGATCCTTGTTCGGTTCTCGCTGCTCCCAAGAATGGAGCAGAGGATCATCTGCTGAGGCTAATTTTAGGTCTCTGAACGTTGCCGATGTCCCTCTGAGCTCCTATTTGTGTGCGATCCTGCGGCTCCCTGCTAAGAGCTATGTGGGAGTCCTGTATCCTCATGTGCGAAGGTTTTGCTGGGGCATAGTGTCCCAGGGATTAGGAAGAACTTTGAATTCCTCACTTACCTAAAGTGTCTAAGCCATATCAGATGTATACGTGACCCCCTTTTTTAGCCCTAGTACCAAGCACCCTTTGGACCTTGCTTTGTGGGTGCCCATGCGTTGCATGGTGGGAAGCAGGCTGCAGCTTTCCAGCCTTTTCCTGCCGAAAATGCAGCATCCTTCCTGTTCACAGCAGTCCATTCCTGTTGTCTCAGATGGGCGCATGCAGTGCAGAAAACAGTCTTCCGTGAAACCTCTGGGTGTGGGAATACTCAAAAGCCGTCAGCCAAGTGAGATGGGAGCCCAGCTCTGGCCTTCTCTGTACGGCTGGATGGCTGCTTGGCATCTGCCACCACCATCCTCCAGCACAGCACAGGGTGAGGCCTCCTGGCCTCTCCCTTGTTTGTACAACCAAGACTTTTGGCTTCTCTGCACTTTTTGGTTTCCACCTGCTCAGGTGATTTTTCAGCAGCGCTGAGCTTAGCGCTGAGCTTTGCTAAGTTTCATGTTGAGGCAAGATGTGGCTCTGCAGTTTTGGCCCATCTTTATTTTTAGCCTAAGACATGGTTGATGGTATCAGAAGGAAGCTGCGTGGTCTCCTGAGCTCCCTGACTCATCCTGGATCAGGACTGAGGCTTTGCTAGCTTCTGCTATAACCCTCAAGTGATGTAACCAGTTGTGGTGGGCTGTACTAGATGTGGGGAAGGGCAGAATGGGGAGGGAAGCAGAGCTTTTAGAAGTTCTTTTTAATCCATTCTGTTAAGTCATTAAATTCATTGATTGAAAGATATTGGCAGGTATCATACCTGAGTGTGGTTCAGCAGGGTCCTTTGTCTTCCCCTTGCATCTTGTGCCCGTGTGGGAGAGGTGGGAAAGGGAGAGGAGCTCTACTTACACACCGGGTTGGGTAACTGTTTAGCAGCACATAGCAACAGTAGACAACAGTTTTTAGGACAGGAAGCAAAGCAGGATCCTGTCTCCGGCTCAAGCCACAGTGAGGTTTGGTGCAGCAGAACAGACTTGCCTGAAGTGGAAATGGGCTAGGACTGAAGAACAGAGACTTGGGAGATGCCTGCCAGCCTGCAGCAAGAAGAGTTTGGGACCTCCATTTCCATCAAACCTGGTGCTGCCACAAGGCAGAAAGAGCTCATAGGGCTTTCTGACCTGCAGGCAGCCGTGATGTGGTGGTCTGGCCTGGGCAGGGGCTGCATGTCACCGCCACGGAGCAGGCAGTGATGTTGAAGCATCCCTGCCTGCCACAGCATGACAGGGAGTGCAGCTAGAGGGGCCTCTACACCCCAAGTCTGGCTGCCCAGCTCTCCTGTGTCGCACCTCTCAGGACTGGGTACAGTGGGGTGTGATGCCCCCGGGTCCAGAGTAGGCACCTTGCCCGTGAAGCAGGTGGGGATGATGGCTTGTGGGGGTGGGCTTCCACCTCTGCCCCCTTTCCTTCCTTGGGGTGATGAACAGCCCTTTAGCAGCATGTGCAGGCTCTTGGGTGTTGTGCAGCATGTTTTATGTGTGGGGCAGCAGGGAGGGGACGCAAGGCTTGGGGGAGCAGAGACAAAGGAGGGAGGCAGGAGGGCATGCTTGGGGGGGATTGCTATGGCAACTCACCGCTGGCAGCATCGCTGTATCGCTCTTTCTGCAGCGCATGACAGAGGAGCAGCCGGGGCAAATGCGCAACCTGCCACAGCCCTCGATGCAGCCCCGTCCCAGCCGTGCCACGGGCTCAGCACCGCTGGGCTCCTGTGTGACAATCTGGCATCTGGAGCCGTTCTCCTCAGGGTCTGTGGTCAGGGGTGTTTTGTCCTTCTCCCCTCTTTCACCCCTTGCTGGGGAATGGGCAGGCAGCTCCTGTTTGCAGACCTGTTCTATTTGAAGCCTTGAGTTGCAGAGCAGGCCCAGCCAGAAAGAAACCAGTCTCCTGAGCCCTCTCACTGTACCACGCAGGAAAGCAAGTCGTTCTGCTGCCATTGCTTATCCTCAGTTAATCAATGCAAGTGGCTCCAGCCATGCCTGCATCTTCCCAGGATGCCTGGCCCTGTACCGTGCTGTCCACCTCGCACAGCCAGTTTGTCTTGCTCCGGGGTATCTGTACTCTGATGGAGAGCAGATGCTCTAGTGAGCCTTCTGATATGGTCTGAGACCATCCCCTGGACAGGTAAAAGAGAGGTTAAACATTTCTGAAGCTGCCTTTGGGCAGACCCGTTGCCAGATGCTGGTGGAGAGCTGGCTCCTGTTGCTGAAGGAAGCAGGGGACATGGTGCTGCTCGCTGTGCAGAGAGAACAGGTCAGGAATCCGGCTCCAGCCTGGCCATAATGTGAGCATGACTGAGACCTGACCTGTCATCCACGATGTGCCTAAAGCCATGGATGCGAGCCAGGGGGGAAGGGACCGGCTGGCAGCAAGCACAGTTTGCCCGTCTCAACATGGATGGCTGTGTGAGCTGTAAACCTCTCTCATTACACCTCTCAAAGGTCAGTGCTTGCAGTGAGCTACAACGCCCTGCCCGCAGCTCAGTGCCCAGCCCAGAACAAGAGAGGAAGGAACCTGTGCCACCTTCAGAGGATGCTCTGAATGCTCTGAAGTCAGATGTGTGGGGTTGCCAGCGGGTGGCACACACTGCTGTAGTGCCTGTGGCCAGAGTTTGTCTGGGACTAGGATGTTCACGCAAAACTGGAGGGGAAAGGATGCCTGTCTGTGAGCTGCCCAATTGGCCCTGCACTCACAAATGTCATGATCCTTGCCTGAGCTGTGGCCCCTCCATCCAGCTCTGAACCAGGGTACAAAGCCTCAGAAATTCCTCTGAAAACTGTTTCACCATTTCCAATCTGCCATAGCATCCATCTCTGGTTTAGGGTGACTATAAGATCTGTGTAGACTGTCCAGTGCTACAGTTCCAGTCACCTTAAAAATCCCAAATAGGCTACACTTTTTTGTAAAATGTTCCCTGGACTCCAGACCCTACTGTTCCCAAGGGAGAGCAAACAAGGAGGTGGAAGCTGGAACATGGAGCCTCTGGAAAAGCCACCTGCGGCAGACAGCAGTGTGCTTCCTCCCTCCTGCTTCCCGACAGGTTCATTCCCTTTTCAGAAGGTAACAGCT